CTTTCTCTGGTTGTCTGTCAGTGTGATGCCTTGAGCTGAAACCTTGAAGTGGACAATGGCTGGTACTGGGTTGGGGCTGCAGCTCAGAGCTGCAGAACTGGCCCTGGCCACAGCTTGAGGGCCAGTGAGTGACTCTGTCTCCACGGAGGTCAGGTAGAGCACACTACAGGCTAAAGAGACAGGAAGAAGGTTGATGAGCTAGTATGGCTGTGCCAGAACCAAGATCTGCCACCTTTGAGTCACCCTTTAGCTTCTTGTCTAATATAATCTTCTCGTGCTTTTCCCTGAGAGTGCTATCTGAATGCACTAGAATCACACACTGACAAGTTAGAAAGGCAACTCCCAGACTCCAAGGGATTTACAGCCAGCAACAGTGCAAGTTCTTTCCTCTGCTGCAGCTGTGACTCCTGTGTTGTAAACCCTGAGAACTTAGCCTGTGACCCCTTCCCTGCCTCCTGAAAATGTGGGCTCCTCTGCTTTTGTGGGGTTAAATGTATCTGCTGGGTCTACCTTCTACAGTCCTATCAATGCCTCTCCCTGTATCTGGAGTCTACAGTGTCCTCTTGACCACCAGGGAGAGGGAGGGGAAGCGAGTCTCTTACCTGCTCCCTGACGCAGGAGGTCTGCTGCTGTGCTCATGTTGGTGGGAACTGGAGCCTCTGGGGTTTCTTCCAGAGGATCTGAGGAGATGAGCACCACCAAGGAAGGTCAAGAGGGAGAGCCTTCCCTAGGTGCTAGTGGACTCCCTTAGCCACCATAAGGGAAGGGGTGGGGAGACAGGACCTCTGTATTTGGCTGTAGGAGTGATGAGAGCTGAGGAGACATTACACACCTTTACTGGGAATTCGAAGACAGCAGGGTAGGGAAATGGGAGAGATGGAGTGTTGCGAGACCAGGGCAGAGAGGCTGCCTGCAAAGGGAGGGGAAAAAATCCTGAAGGGCTTGTGGATAGCCTTCTATCTTCGCCCTCTTGAGGCCTCTCCCTTAACCAACCCCCTAGAACCCTCTGACACTGTTTCTCACCAAAATAGGGCTCAGTAGGACAACCCTTGATCTTCACGCCTTTGGGCCCAGTCTCAATGAGGAAGTGGCGCACCAACTGCTCTGAGGGGTCTCCTGAGAGGAGGGAGGGATGGTGAAAGTGAAGCTTTACTGAATTCCAGATTCTCAGTTTCTCCCCTCCCCCTCCTCAGGAACTCTTTCCTGAGCCGGGAGCAAGGGGACTTGCTTTGCCCCTACCCTTCATGGAGATGTCCTGTGCATCTCTCTACTTTTGGCTCTGCAGCTTCTCCCCTCTCCACACCCATTCCCTCAGTTTGAGGATGCTGTACCTTTTAAGGGCTGGGCGCTGGGTGGGGGTGTGGCCACTTTGAGGGCTAGCCCATAGGCTCCTTGGAATGAGTGGCTGTCCCTGATCAGGAAGGCCCCAGGGTCCTTGTCTTTCAGCAGGGCAATGGCTGCAGGGCAAAAGTCAGAGATGGCTGGCAGCCCCACACAGCCCCACTAGCTGGTCCCACTCGGCCAGCCAGCCATGTGGATGGCAGGATTTTGGGACTTTGGATGACTACTCTGAGGCCAAAGCTTAGAATTACTGCTGGTGGTGGCGCACGCCTTTAATCCCAGCACTTGAGAGGCAGAGGCAGGGGGATCTCTGAGTTCGAGACCAGCCTGGTCTACAAGAGCTAGTTCCAGGACAGCCTCCAAAACTACACAGGGAAACCCTCTCTCGGGAGGTGGGGGGTAGGGGGGATGAGGAGAATGGCTGCTGGTAAGCAACTCCTCCAAGAGCTAAGACAAAGGAGACCAAAGCCCCCACCAGGATGAGACTCGCAGCCAAGACAGGCCTTGGAGGTGGGGTGGGATGGGTGAACTACCTTTTCTGGCTTCGTACCTTGGTCACGGGACAGGTGCGGCTTGTACCAGAACTTGGATGTGTCCTGGACAAACTTGACATTGCTTTGGTTCTCTTGTAAAGGATGCTCTAGGAGAGGAAGGGATTGAGTTCAGACTCCTGGGTCCCTATGGTCTCTCTCTGGGGGGTAAGTTTCTTTAGAGGATAACTGGTTGTCCCTTATACCTGGGGGCTGGGTGACATCTGGGAGAGGAGTTGCAAAGGTGACATGTTGGTTGGTGCCTCTGGCTGGTGGTGATGGCTGTTGCCCAGACCCAGACAGGTGTCGTTTTTCAGGAAGTGGTGGCTGAGTGGGACCATTAGCATCATAGGAGGCAGCCAATGGGAAGGCAGGGGTGGGTGAGCTCTGGGGTGGTGGTGGCTCTGGGCTGGCCACAAGCCAGGGCATCTGGGTAGGCACAGGAGTAAGTGGGGAGCCATCTGGGCTGTCTGGGGGGCCCCGCCAGGGGGCATGGCGGAGTCCGGGCAGGGTGGTTGGGACAGGGCCCCGAGAATTGGCACTACTGGAGTGACCCCCTGGGCTCCTTTCCTGAGGCCAGCCATTGGGTGAGCTGGGCGGGGAGGTCTGGGAGAAAGGGCTAGGGTCTGGTGGCTCAGGCCTGCTGCTGGCCAGAAGCTCAGGAGCCTTTTCAGTGCTTCCCTGGACAACAGGGGGCAAAGCCTCGCCAGGACTCAGTCTCTGAGTTGCTGCCAAGGGGGGAGACCTGGTGTCTTGCCGTCGGGTGCTGCAGGGGGAAATGTAGATGGTCAGACAGCTCCTGCTTTGGGCTGCTGACAGCCATAGAACTTGCCCAAATAGCTATGGCCCTCTGTACCTTTCTTTGCCCTGGACTGGGCTGCTGGTGTGCAGCGGTGTAGAGGGACCAGACAGCTCTGATGAAGCAGTGCATTGGGCATCTCGGGGAGACCGAGGCAGCGTGCTGTGCCCACTGGGACCATCCCTCCAGGACAGTTCAGGTGACTCTGTGATGGGGAGAGGACTCTGTGAACAGGAGCTGGCTTTTCTGTCTGGCTCAGTTCCTTCCCGCCCCTGGCATCCACACAAGCACTTAGAACCTTCCTCTACCCTGGACATTCCCACTCTAGTATCCTCACCTGTAGATGCCAGGGGTCCTCCTGTTGAAGCCAGGTGCCCAGGCAGTGGGTACTTGTCCCTTCCATCCTCAGCAGGAATCTCATAACCCAGCTTCCTGGATTGCAAGTAGGGTGGACTTCCCGGGGACACAGAGCCAGCCCGTGGTGAGTGGGCACCAGGCCCAGGGTACCCTCTTCCCTCACTTGAGGATCCACAACTGTGAGGTGCCCGGCCATATACTGGGCAGTAACTAGGAACTGTTCCTCCATAGCCATAGGTTACCAGGGCAGGGTACCCTGGATGTCCATACCTGCCTTCAGGGCACATGGCATATGAGCAGCCCTCATGTCCTTCCTCACCCACTTTGGATGGCTTCAGGCAGCTGTAGTCAGGCATTGGGGCATGGTGATGCCCACAGGCAGGCACCAACAGAGGCAATGGGTGTCCAGGCCTCACTGGGTGCAGGAGAGGCTTGCCTGCTTCACTGGCCCACCCCTCTCCAGCCTCTCTGTCTAGTCGCAGTCCATATAGGGCTGCTGTGGGCAGTGCCAGCTTCTCTTCACAGGCTGGGCATGAGCATAAAGCAGGTACTCCGGGGTCCTCCAGGATCACCACCTCCCGGTAGCCTGCTGAGCGGTAGCCAAAGTCCCCATTAGCTGGTTTCCCTAGCTCAGATGCATAGGGATATGGCCCTTCTGACAGTGACCTGCAGAGGCGCCTCTTCTCCATAGGGGCTTCTGTGTAGCCTTGGGGGTGTCCTTCATAGCCCCCATAGGGCGGTCGTCGTCTCTCCAGGGTGCCCTCAGGCCTGTAGTAGCCTCCATTGGGGACTGTACAAGGCTCCCGGTAGCCCTGCCGGCAGGAGCAGTGTCGGTTGAGGCCAGGCCTGTGGCCTGGATACATCCCAAGATGCAGGCCCCCACCTACAGAGGGCTGCTCTTCATCATCTAGGATGGCCGTCTCACGTCCAGCTCCACGGCCTCCACTGGCCACTCCACAGCCTCCCAGCAGACGATTCAGCTCCTGGCGTTCAGCAGCAGTTGGGGGTGGTCGGCCAGGGGATTCTGCTGTGGGTTCTGTGGTGAGTGTGGACGAATGGCCAGAGTCGCTGCTCACAGAGAGCATGGGGGGTGGGGGGAGCTCTGGAGAAGGTGCTGGTGGAGTCTGGTGGGGGACCCGCTGCACCTGGGCATACGGACTGCCATCCAGGGGACCCCTTGTGTGGGCCAAGGAACCTGAGTGGAGAAGAAGAATTTGTGAGTGGGGACAGCACTAACACCTTAGTGTGCCTCTCCCCACAAGCCACAAAGTTATGTCTCCTACCTGCCCACCACCCACACACCACCCACGCCACACCCACACACCATCCACACTGTCCTCATGGTGCTGGTTGAAGTTCTCGTAGGAGTCCCAGCGTACCGCAGGCTCTGTTGTGTTGTAATCCACTGAGACAGAGGGATCGTTCCGTGGGGTGTTGCCTGTGGAAGGCCACCAGGGTACTAAGGATTGGAGTCCCCCAACATCTTCAGCACCCTATTGTTCCAGCTCCCACTCCTACCTTTGACCTTCTCAGGGCTGGAGGAGAAGACAAATTCCACTGAGGCTTGGAAAGGGAACCGCTCATCTGTGGAGGAGGTGGTGGTGGTGAGGAGCCAGCCCTGTTGACATTCCCTTCGCTGCCCACTTGCCACTTCCCCGGGCTTTGACTCACCAGCCCAGGCCTCATCTAGCTGGTCCTTAGGGAAGGTGAGCCGTGACCCATGCATGGTGCACGTGTGGAACTGAACTCGGAACACAAGGGTCCGGTCTGTCCCCTGGCCACCCTTGTGGTAGCAGGTTACCTGAAGGAGGGCAGGAGATTGGGGGTCAGGCCTTTACCCCACGGGCTGCCAGGTCACAGCTTCTGCCATGCCCTAATCTCGAGATGAACTCTCCTGGGAGATCAGGGGTAGGATTCCCTTTGGGCCTGACACTCCTGCTTGAACTGATGACTTGTCAGTTGACTATATGGCTAGAAGCCCCCTACTCCACTGAAATCCCCATCTTCAGGGTCCCCCTCACCATGACATCGCCTTTGAGGAGGAGAGCTGGCTCTAGGCTGATGCAAAGTGGCTGGGGTCCTGGGCCTGCAATGCGACTTTGGGCAGAGAGAAGGCAGAATGGTCAGAGGCATTCAGGAAGAGCACAGAGGTGGCTATGTAGAGTCAGGCCCTGGGGAGTACTTAAGCCTCCCTGGCTGGAGTCAGAAGCCGAGGCCTGGGGAGGCTGGGGGACAGACAAATAGACACTGGCACAGGCAGGTGTCAGGGCCTGGGAACAGAGCACTCACTAGACTCCAGATGTGTAGACCAGCTGCATAGATTGGTAGATCTTGAGGAAGGGTTGGAAGCCTGGAGGGTGAAGGACATGAGGGGGTTGGGTGAAGGGAGGTGGAAAATGGCTGCTGCCCCCATGGAATACATCTCAGGTAGACTCACCTGTGTTGGGCTCAAAGGCTGGCAGCATGGGCACAAACACATAGTGCAGGAACAGCGGGCTGCTGTTCATCCTGATGGAGCCAGACAGCAGCCCGCTGAAATAGCTGACATAGCTGGCAGGAGAGTGCCAAGGAAAACATCAGCAACTCAACAGTGCAGACCTTCCACCCAACCTTGAGAGACCCAGACTGTCCTTCCAAACTTCAAGGAGGCAAGTTCCCCTCGCCCCATGAAGCCTTTCTTACAGGCCTCTGCTTTACTCTCTTCACAAACCTTGCCATCACCTAGAGTGAGCCAGTCCATTTGTTTATGTGTGGCTTCTTGCCTTCCACTCCACTAGCAAGTGAATGCCATGAGAGCCTGACCCTGTTTGTTCTCGGTTCCCAGAACTTGGCATGGTGCATTGTGGGTTTCAAGTTTGCTGCCTGAGCAGGAGAATCAGCCCTTCCCCACTGGGCTGCTCACCGGCGTTGGGAGGGCTGCAGTTCCGTGGCCACCTTGTCCTCACAAAATTTTCTCATGGTGAGAGTTGCCAGCGCCTGGTCTGCCCTGGGGAGAGCAGGGCGGGTGGGGTGCTTAGGAATCAGTCTCATTCTGGCCTTCCACACCTAAGCCCCAGGGAAGGAGGAACCATGGGATTCCCCTCAGTGTAGAGGGGACCCCCAATGGTGAAGAGAGCTAGCAGCCCTACAGTACAGTGTCCCAGTTGTTGGGCCTCAGGCAATTACCCCCTGAATTTGACTTTTCTCACCTGTAAAGTGGGGCAGTTAGATAATCTGATGAGTTGAATTATGTCCCTCCCCCACAGAAATGTACCTCAAATGTGACCTTATTTAGAAATAGGGTCTCTGCAGATGTGATTAGATAGGTTAAGATGAGATCATGCAGGAGCAAGGTGGGCCCTGAATTCAGGGTGACTGGTCCTCAGAAGAGGAGAAACAGAAACAGACGCAAAGAGAACACCACGTGATGATGTAGGCAGGGGTTGGAGTGATGCTGCTGCAAGCCAAGACCACCACCAGAAGCTGGAAAGAGGCAAGGAAGGAGTCTGCCTAGAGTCACAGAGAAGAGTTAGGCCCCACTGACACCTTCACTTTGGATTTTTAACATCTTAGAACTGTGAGACAATTGAGTTATCTTAAGCCAGTTTATGGCATTTTGCTGACAGCCCTAGGAAACTAGCCCAGCTCATCTGTTGGGGAGTCCTGGGCGCCTAAGTGGAGACAGGCAGTATCACACCAAGTTTATAGTGTAGGACTCTGACTAAAGAGGGAAACTCAGACAGGGCCAGGTGAGGAAGGGCCACTGGGACAGGGCAACTCACCCTGCAGAGATCTTGCTGTAATGCATATAGGCAGAGACGATTACTCCAAGCTTGCCCTTGCTCCCCTGAGAGATAAAGAGATAGGGTTGTTGGGCCTACTCTTCTAGGATGAGGATGCCTCAGCTCTGTGACCCCAAGGTCCCAGCCTACCTTGCAGTACAACACGACCACATGCTGAGGGTCAGCACTGAGCCATGTCTCCATGGCTTTGCAGATGGAACACAATTTGTCCAGAGGTGGGGCATGCAGCTCAGGCCAGCCAAAGTCCTGCACCTGGGGAAATACAAGGGTAGAATTGTGTGCGTGCGTGTGTGCGTGCGTGCATCCGTGCGTGCGTATGCAGGAACAAGGAGGTGAGAGGGTATGAACATCAAACAGGGGCCCTGGTGCAAAGTGGGGCTTGCTAGTGGTCCCACAGTAGCCTGGACACTTTACAGCCATACTGCACCATGTTTTCATATATCTTAAATGGTGTGTCATATGAGAGGTGCTTAAGAGTAAAATGGATGTCAGCTGCTACTAATAACAAGGAGGCAGGGCCTTCTCATAGGGTTGGTTCAGCTTAAAGGCCAGACAGACCATTTTGCCTCCTACCTTAGGGTTCAGGCGGGTCAGGTCATGTCGTTTCTCTGAAAGGTTGAAGAGCTGAAATAAAGGGAAGAGTTAGATGAAGGCAACTTCAGACAGAGGAGCTGGAGGTGGACCCTCAATCTTACTCTAAAATAAGATTGCAATCATCTGGAACTCA